TACAATGTTGGTAAAAATAAATAAATAAATAAATTTTCACGCTACTTGTATAATCATTTCATACAATATTGGTTGACAATCATACTTGTCAACATCACATTCATCCATTTTAAAAACTGTTTTTAAAATTAATGGATCAGATTTTGACAATATCAATGTTGCCATCCATTATTGTCAACAACAATTGTACAAGTAGATAAATTTAAAAAGAAAAAGGGTTACCCTTACTTGAAATGTGTCTTTGGTTTACCTATCATCTGTAGTGCTACAAACTAGTTCTTGCCAAATATGTAACTTCAGAAAATTGCCTATCATCGGTAGTTCTTTCCATTTATGTCCCTAAGCTGTCATTTTTGGTGCTCATGCGGGCAGAGGGATGCAAATTGTTCAACTATTCGACAAAAGGCTATCCTTATGGGAGTCAAAAATGACAGTCTGTGGTCTTAAATTTGACAATATCAATGTTGCCATCCATTATTGTCAACAACAATTGTACAAGTAGATAAATTTAAAAAGAAAAAGGGTTACCCTTAATTGAAATGTGTCTTGGGTTTACCTATCATCTGTAGTGCTACAAACTAGTTCTTGCCAAATATGTAACTTCAGAAATTGCCTATCATCTGTAGTTCTTTCCATTTATGTCCCTAAGCTGTCATTTGTGGTGCTCATACGGACAGATGGATGCAAATTGTTCAACTATTCGACAAAAGGCTATCCTTATGGGAGTCAAAAATGACAGTCTGTGGTCTTAAAGGTGACCAAATGATGAATGGGACCCAAAGTGCAAAAGTGGATTGGGGGTGAGATTCCCTATTGAGATATAAGGTTTATTACAAATATATTTTAGGTTGAATAATTTGGTTGGTACCCTTGTGTGTTTTTGTGCTGACAATCCTGTTATGTTGCTTTTTTATTTGTTGGCTAATTAGCAAATGGTAATTGGATTTTGCAAACGAAAAGGAGATTTAGCCCCTGTTTGGTTCTTTTTTTTCATCTCAAAAAATCAATTTTTTGATCGTTACTTTTTCTAAGTCAGTCATTATTTTTAATTTCTTCACTTACAGGTAGGATTCACTTTTTCGGGGGTGAGATTCCCTATTGAGATATAAGGTTTATTACAAATATATTTTAGGTTGAATAATTTGGTTGGTACCCTTGTGTGTTTTTGTGCTGACAATCCTGTTATGTTGCTTTTTTATTTGTTGGCTAATTAGCAAATGGTAATTGGATTTTGCAAACGAAAAGGAGATTTAGCCCCTATTTGGTTCTTTTTTTTTCATCTCAAAAAATCAATTTTTTGACCGTTACTTTTTCTAAGTCAGTCATTATTTTTAATTTCTTCATTTACAGGTAGGATTCACTTTTTTCCTCTTAATAGTTAAAAAATTGATTCTCAAAATCGCTGAATAATAGGCAGGAAATGGGCCCCTCTACCTGCGATTTTGGGCACATTTATGATTTCGGGGTTAATGCACGAGTTAATTTTCTTTTACATGGGTCGTGAAATGCCCAAGGGCGGAATCACATGGTTTTGCTTGCTGCACGGTGTGAGTTTAATGATCGAGGTTGCAATTAAGAAGGCGATTAATGGCAGATGGTGTTTGCCTCGGATAATATCGGGCCCGTTAATCATTGGATTTGTGTTGTTTACCTCGTTTTGGCTATTTTTTCCGGAATTTTTACGATATAATCCGATGGAACGAGCTATGGATGAGCATGCAGCAATGGGAGGATTTGCGAAGGATATTTTACGAGGCCTCGACCTTCAATCTTAGGATAATGCCCTTGGAAAGAATTTTTCTTTGAGCTTCTTGACCAAGTATAATGATGTCTTCATGACTTAATTATTATTGTTGAACATCTTGTATTGGAATTGGAAGCAAAAATGAACACAAAGTCAAAAACACCATCACAGCAAAAATACAGCTATAACTCAAAATTTCAAAACATCATAGTAAACAGCAAATTAGGAGACAGCACTTTTGACCATTGTGAGGAATTATCCTGATTAGTGATCACTGTTTTGATAATTGGAGTTGGAGAATTCGAGAAGATTTAGGTATTTTGGCTTTTTGTCAAAAGTTCCTATAAGAATCATGTAAATTATTATGTTGCTGAAATTCTCGTATTATCTGTCTTTGATTTGCCAAGCGAAACTGGGCCGGACCTTACCAAATTCGAGAATTAAACTCCTCCCAGCCCAAATTAGAGAATTACATTCCTCCCGGGTGTTCACCCTTCCCTGTCATCATGAGTGTAAACTAAAGAAAAATGATAATTTTAAGTGGATAAGACATGTCTCAAACTTAACATAAAAGTAAAAATTATGTAATCTCGAAGAATTTAGAATAAAACTAATTTGCAATCAGTGAAGTCTCACGGTATCAAAATTAAAATCAATTGTGGGTTCACGTTTTAATGCATAATTTTGTCATATTAATATTGTTAACAACTAAAATCATGCTCGACCTTTATCCCGATTTAAATAAAGAGTAATACTATACATGTACACTTTTTATGTACATAATCGTAGACAAACCCCTCGCATGGAATAGGGCCATATCGGCCCTTTTTTTCCTTTTTTTTGGCTGGGGGCG